GTGCTACTGTGGTTGTTGCAGGAGACACACGTAGCCTTAGAAGGATGAAGTCACATGCTTGATGAGGGGTCCAAGAAGGTGAGACAGTGTCGGCAGGGTCTGTGTTTAAGAGAAAAGTATCCCATGGCATCTAAGCGAAGTGTTTCTCTTTGGTTTTGTGGGTGCTATGCAGGCAGCCTTTGGAGTTGGATGAGTGAGGTGAGCTGGGGAGGTAGCAAGGAGGAGCAGGGTCAGGTGACTTGTCAGAAGGGCAACAGCGATTTTGTATCTCTTGGTTTCTTAGGTACCAGCAAGTGATAACAGCCGCGGTGTCCGACTGTGGAATGAGGTGAGCGGCGCTTCTGAAGGGGGTGTCATGGAAGAGGTTGGCATTGGCTGACATGAAGCTGGCCGCTTGTGCTGTTCGTGGATGTTTTGCAGATGATGCACATCTGGTGCAATTTCTAGTTTGAGATCAAATTATAACATCAATCAGGGGTCCCAATCTGAGAAAAAGATTAGCAGAGACATTTTTTGTACACAAAAAACAAATGAAGATTTGTCAGGCTAAGGAAGGGCATATGTTTTGAGGGGAGGGAATAAGAAATGTCAATGCATTGGATGAGTAAGTCTTGAAACTCCTATGAGCATAAAGAAATGGAGCAAGATAAAACACTTAAAGGAAAGTCTAAATAATGGAGTTCAGAAGAAACAGGATGAAACACTGCAGGATAAGGGAAAAAAAAAAAAAATCAGATTTACACAGTGTCCAGTGTTTAGACAGACTATATTTGGAAGAAGCAAAACCATCTTCTAGAAAAGTCAGTAGAGAAAGACTGAATGCATTTAAAACTAAGTTAATGATGCAGTCTTGGACAAGTAAAAGGAGGAGGTTTTTAAGAAATTAATCAAAATAATTCAATGTAGGAACTGGAACGTTATCTTAAATGTTAGTGAAATCTTTATAATTTATAAAGTGAACCCTGGTGCACAAGGTTGTGTGCTAACAGCAACAAAGGCTTTGGAGAAAAGTTAGTTGTGATAAAATAGGGAATGTTTGAAGAAGAGAGCAAGAGAATAATTCCTAGTATAAATGTGTATGAAGGAAGGTAAAAAGTCCCCAAACCTAACCTGTATCAGAAGTTTGATGGAACAAGAGTGATAGACTTCAGAACAGTTATTTTTGTTACCTAGAAGTAGCATCAGTAGAAAACTATGACTTTTGGAGTCTGTGTTTACTAAATGGGACATATTAAATGTTGTTATGATATGTAGAAGACCACAATTCAATTGTTATGAGATGAAATGGTTCTCAGAGGAATATGGTTTTAAGAATGTTACTTTAGGTCCAGGATGTTCAAGCTTGCTAGTGTTATGGAAAGTGCTGTAGAAATTGATAGAAGAAAGCTTTAAAAAGCTGAAAAATCAGATTCCTATTTGGCATTCCGGAATTTCAGGGCAGCATCCTTTAAATTCAACCTGTCACCAGCTGAAACAGATTGACAGAAAACTTAGACCCAGACCACTTGATTGTATAACCTCTTCTTTTAACTTAGAGGCAACATAAGTTTGAAAAAGGAAAAAAATGAAACGGAAATAGCACTTGGGGAATGGAAACTATCATGCAGCCTGTACATCTGCAAGACAATATACATGACGGACAAACATGAGCAAACAAGACATTACTCTTTAGTGAAGTTTTTGTAATGAGCTTATTATTGAACATACAGGAGATACTGGAGATAACTCCTCCTCTTCAGAAAGAAACTCAAGCAATAAGAGGTGAATTCTGGAAAATCTGAGTGTAGAAACAAAAGCAGCCGTGGAAAAGTTTGTAAAAGAAATCACGGTATTGTAGCAATTTGAAGAGCTGAATAGAGGAAGAATTGCAGAAGTTCCTTCAGGAGACCAGAGGGAGGATACGAAAGGACTTTATGGAAGACAATTGCCAAAGGATCCCTGCTGTATAAGCATCAATAAGTAGCAGCTAATATTCTTTGCTGGATCCCAGGGCTACTGTAGTAACCAGTAACTCAGGGAAATACACAAGAGTGATTTGTTACGTACATAAGGCATACATAAGTGTCTGTAATCCTGGAGATATATCTTCATAAACTTTAATCTTGCACATCCTCTCCAGAATTAGTTTCAAGTGTTAGAATGACTGGGATCATGCTATCGCTTAGGAATGAGAATGTAGCAGGAGCCTTTTGAAAGTATCAGGTATACTCCGAAAATGTCAGTGTTCATTAAATGTTATCAAGCATTTTATTCAGATGGCACAGGGCAGAAAGGTCCTGCTGCTCAAGGCTCTATATATTCTCAAAGGCAACAAATCATACCCTGCTAGCTCACACTCCAGGGAAGGCAGTCAAAAGGCGAGTAAAAAGTATTTTTAGTCATGTTTTACAAAAAGAGCATGGAGAGACCCCTTGTTGGGGTCACACAAAAATCATATAACATGAGGTCATATAAGGATTAATTCAGTACCTTCCATTATAGCATTCTTTCTTTTGTTAAGAGCTTTGCATGTTTCTATGATGTAAGAAATTAAGATGCAATTTTTAAGGTCTCTTTTATGCCTTCTTGTCTTTCCCACATGAATAAGAGTCCTTTTTTTAGTAGAGTTTGATATGGTATTAGATGAAAACCTGCAGTCATTTAAAACCAGCTGCTGTTGGCTGCAGATCCAGATGACCCAAAACTAAGCCTACCAGAGGCCATTAGATCTTATTCCACGCTTTGGGAATAGACGTTGCATGGGACTAGACTGGGCAAAAGATATGGATAATTCAGCATTCAGTTAGTCATCATCTCTGTGTATGCCTGTGTTTCACTTGGTTGGCAGAATGGATGACACCTTAAAAGTAGTAATGAGAGGAGCAAAGTAAGTACTGAGAATTTTCCTTTTTGAGTGCTGTTACCTGTGATGTTTTCTAAAGCTGAATTTTGAATAGCAATATGATGGATAGTGAATCATTTAAAAACAAATGTTATTTAGGTCTTTAGCTTGTATAATAGGATCTCATTTAACCGAGCTCCTTGTTAACCATTAGGGAAATTCAAGACTGGGGGATGAAAATGGTTTTGCATACTATCAGAAGGCAAGATGATGCATTGAGTTGTCTTGAAAGCAGGTGTATTTATTCCACTGATTCTTTCAAAAGCATTCTGTGGATTTTATGGCTTCTACATTTCTCCCTTCATTTCCATCAATCTATAATTAATCTTGAGGAATGTTTGCTGTGTATCATTGTCATTTGGTACTCCACGAGGCTGCTTTGGAAGACTGTCTCTTGCGGACACAAGGAAAATTTTCTCAAGATACGGTGGGTACAGGAAATTAATATCAGGAAGACCATTCTTGTTTCTTTTTGTGCAAAGTGTCTGCAACCCTGTGGATTAAAGGCAAGAAATGAGAAAGAAGAAAGCCTGCATATATGCAATGGAAGAAAGAAGTGGGGAGAGGTGATGGGGAAAGTGTTTCATTAAATAACCCTTTCCTCCTTTGTACTGTTGTATTTGAACATGTATATGTATACACACGTTTAAACATGATATTCTTTCTGAAGTGACAGATGAAAATTGTTTGATTTTGGTTTTCTGATGTATTATCAAGTAAATTTTGCAGCAAATGAAGTTAAATATTTTATTGGATATATTCTGTCAGAGTGGTTGGATTCTAACAGTAGAAAAACCACATTTTCATTACATGCAACTCGGAAATTTAAGGAATCATAAAACTTTGCTGCTCATTAAAAAGAAACCTTGTTCTTAGCTTAGGAACTAAAAGCATGAAGACTTCAAGGTATTCTTACCATAAAAAGGAATCCATTAATACAAACTTTTGTCACAACAGTGTTGGACAGCAAGTTGTGAAGAAGTGACATTTCCTTGTATTTGAAAAGGAAGGGAAAACACTGATTAAGGAGCATATGGAATGAGTATTTTTCCACTGCATTCTGCTTGTAGCAAGTCTGTGCTACGAGGTTCTGCACTGTAAACACATGTACTCTGTTAAAATGGGATTTACAGATCAGCCTTACTGAAATGCTTACTGAAGGACTAACCAGGCAGAATGATGTTCTTGCTTGGGTCTCAGAAAAATCATAGGGAGGAGCTGATTAGGTTTTCTTTTGATTTTTTTTTTTTTTTTTTAAGATATATTTTCAGAGACTAAGATAGGATCACTCTGGAGGAAAAAAGGCAATGTAAATCCATCTGAAACAGAGTAGCCCAAATTGTCAAAACTCAGGTACCCAAACTGTCTTCTCTTC